ATGAAAGCAGTTCCTTTCCAAAAGAAACATCTTTAAGATCGTCCTTCTTTTCTTCCTTTCGCTTTCTTTATTTTCCAAGTCTGTTACCACCAGCTTAAAAATGGTTTATGAACTGCACAACAGGCAACATGAAAGACTCCAGAATGGCTGTGCAATCCACATATTACAGATTACTTGGGACAAACAAAAGGAAAAAGTATCAATTCTTATGAGCACTTATTCATCATACCAATTGTCGGCCGAAGCACTTCTTTCCAAATAGTTTCTGGCAATAATAGCAGTAAACAAATAACATTGGTTATGCAGATAAAATGAATTTCCTTGTGAATCATACCTTAAGCTGCTTGGCCACATCTCTAGCAGAGGATCCTGACACTTCAATCCAGGTTTTTGAGAACAATGCACATGCTGACAGCATAAAAACAATGTAAAAAAGTGCATGAAATGGATTGGCTGCCATATCTGCCAAGCTGCAAAAATGACAACAGATTCAGTTAAGCATGTAAAAGTAGGAAGAAAAATGCAAAAACCATCAACGCGTGTTGATGGATAGAATGTAGATGATAGTAACACGAGACTAGGCAGGGAGATCCAATGATCATGAGCCACAGTAATTCACCTTGATGGAGCAGTAATATAATAAGCAAGGCCTCCAACAGGGACTGTTTGGCCAGAATATTCTGATTCCTTCCACTTCCCCAAAAGGTTCACTAGGAAATTTCCACTGTACTTCCTGTACAGTAACTGGAACAACAAACAGCAAGAGGCTCATTATGTGTTAAAAAAATAACAAATCTTAGTCAACTAGAGCCTAGTTGCAAAAAAGGCCCATACCTGAGAAATGAAGTAGAGATTGGACACCAGAGCAGATTGTAGAATAATGGGCATATTGGAAGTATAGAACAGCTTGATTGGATATGAACCCTGCTGTCCACGGGCATTCTTAGACCTCACCGGCAAAACCACACGGAAGCCTTGGAAGTAGATCACAATAAGAAAGATCAAGATTGTGGCAAGCAAGTTGGTCACATTCGGAAGATTCTGCCGATAGAATGCTTCACGAAGTGCACGAACCTTGTCTGTTCGAGTTATTAGCAAATGGAATAGAGCAATTACAGCGCCTTCGAATTCAGCTCCACGACCACTGTTAATTGTGGTTGGGCTAAAAGCTTTCCAAATGATGTTTTCACTGTCAAAGCAACCAAAGGTCAGTTCAATCATCCATCTTAGGAGCACATGATAGCTAAATGCAAACTACAGTTTAGAGAAACTTACCAAATGTTGGTGGCAATGAAAAGTGAAATCCCAGAGCCTAGACCATATCCTTTTTGGAGAAGTTCATCTAGACAAATCACAATAATACCAGCAAAGCAGAGTTGGAGAATTATAAGAATTGCATTTCCAACTCCAAGTTGGCTAACGCTTCCATACATCCCTGAGAGAACATAGGCAACCGCTTCACCAACAGCAATAAGGATCCCCAATAACTTCTGTGCACCATTTCTGGAAGTCCAAAAAGGAAAACTTGTCAGAAAAATCATCAAATAAACTGAGCAAATTTATGAAATCAAGGACATAAACAAATCCTCCATATTTCCTAATAGCCTATAAACATCCAGCAAAGGAAACAAGTGTTTGTGTACAACATATTCTGTCTATGTATTTTGAGAAATTCAATTATAACATCAAAAACTGAATCCAACAAGACTTACAAAAGTGCTCGATCCTCGCGTACATTGTTATCTACTTCGATGATCTTTGAACCAGCCAACAGTTGCATAACCAGTCCAGAGGTGACGATAGGAGTGATCCCAAGCTCCATCACAGTCCCACGGTTGGAGGCAAGAATAACACGCATCCAGTAGAATGGATCTGCCCCAGTTGTCGAATGTATGCCATACAGCGGAAGCTGGCTGCATACCAAAAATATGAAAAGGGAGATCACCGTATAGATAACCTTCTCTCTGAATGGGATTTTCCTATCAGCACTCTGAACTTCGGGTAGAAAGGAGAGAAAAGGTCTAACAAGATGAAGCACCCTGAATCCTCCCCCCATCTTATCACGATGAAATGCACCAACTCAGCCTACAAAAAAGAAATTTTCAATCAAAAGCACATTCCATAGGAACAAGAACTCAATCGTAACAACCGAGTAGTTCAACGCAGAAACCAACAGACAGTTTTTGGAATCAACAAAATCAGGAAAAGTCAACACTCCAAAGTAGGCATATGTTGAATCAAAATCATTAGAAGGAAAAAAAAACTAGAAATTTTAATATGCTAAATGTAGTCAATTGAAAACAGCAGCAAAACTTCTCTCCGGCTTACTACCAACAAAGGCAACATCCCATCTCAGACTCAAAATCAACTGAAATTGCTTAATAACACGATAAAAACACTCAAAAAATCACTAGCTTCCAAGATGCCCCAGGCCAAAAAGAAAAAATTGCAGCTTGTAACTTAAAGCATGCCAAGTGAAAACTCCAAATGAAACGTACGGGCTACTAATGTGAAAGCCCCCCAACACATAGGAAATTAACAATTTAACATCCAAAAGAAGAAAAGAAAAAAAAAGGAACGAAAATGTTCTAAGTTCGCCCTACATCTTAAAGGTTTGTAATAAATTGACCCAGGCATAACCTGTATTAGCAAGAACAAAAGGCTGATTTTTTACATAAATTTTACACATAAGAAACGACATAAACAAGACCGAAATCAGAACCAAATTTTACGATACAAGCCCGCTATGCGGCCTAAAAACAGCACTTACTGTATCGGTATCGATTAATCAGATTCATCAGATCTATCAAGTATCAAATTTTCCAGAGAAAAAAAAATTTAACGCAAAATCATTTCGTACGTAAACATAAAAATTCCCTAAATTCAGTTGTTCAATATACGGATCCGAATCGAACAATTCCAAAACAATTGCACGGTTTAGTAAAATAATTAGCTAAACCACTGAACAAGATCGGAAAACAGAAAAACGATCACATAAAACCAATAATTAGCGAAAAGAGATTGAGATTGAAGACCAACCTTGGGAAGAAATTGAGAAGAAGATTTTGAGATCCGTTTGTTACTGAAGCTGCTGAGACGATGAATATTTCATCTGAAGCAGTCTCCGTTTCTCTTGCGTTAGAGGTCTACTTTGGCGATATAAAATGGGTGCCGACGTGGCAGGGCCTCCACGGAGCTTGTCCAATCATTTTATGACACGTATCACATGGATTAGAGTGAAATTATGCGCCAGATTTTTGTTGTAATTCTCATTCCCAAACAGCCAACAATTAGAATTGGTCCCAAAATTGACAAATTCCTGTTACACTGGTACTTCGGTAGTGGGGGTGTTTCACGAATCGAGTCCCCCGCGAGCAGATCGCGAGTGGCTCGAATACGAGCTGGTCAATATCAAGCTCAAGTTGAGTTCGAGCTAATTAAGTCGATCTCGAATTAAAAAATATTAAACTCGTTGGCTCGTGAGCTCAATTATATATATATATTTTTTTTATTTTTTATTTTAATAATAAAATTACATATATATCTCTAATATTTTATTATTTATTAAAAAATTATTATTTTATTTATTTTTAAAAATAAAAAATTATTTTTTATTTTTTAAAAATAATTTAATAATTATTATTTTTTTATTTTTTAAGCTCGAGCTCGAGTTCGAGTTTCACAAAATTAACTCGAGCTCGGCTCGATTAGCCAAAGCTCGACTCGTCTGCACTCCTATTCGGTAGTCAAGTTAATTGTCAGATGATTTTACCATATTGGATAGTTAATCTGGCCCAAGCCCAATAAATAAATGTTTCCTATTTCCTATTTGCAAGGCCTTGTGCAAGATCCCAGTCTAAATTTTACATATAGTTAGATAAGTATTGGGCTTCTGCCGAAGAAAATGTTGGGGACACGAAGTTTAGTTTTTTTGCATTGCAACGATAACATTCTTGTAACATAATTTATCATATTCTACGAAATTGGGTAGACTAAAGTCTAATCTATTCTATTCTAGGAGAGAGGAAGTTTAAAGTATACAAACCTAATCTACATCACGTTTGAATTTTTCTTCCACTGTAAGTAGGGTTGGAATCCCTGACCTACAGTTCAAAGAGGGATTTAGTTCTTTTTTGGTGACCACTTAAACCAAAACTGAGTGGTTTATGAAGCTTGGTCTTATTTGGGAAGATTTGAGATCTACCCAATTGTCACTTTCAATTTTTCAATTTCACCATAAATGTTAACGTCTATACTAACACAAAAGAAGGTATATAAATGTTGAGATAACAATGTGCAAAACTATGAACTTATTAAAAGTGGTTTTGCACAATCAATCCCATTAATCCAATTTCATATTAGGTATTTAAAGGAATCTATTTACAAATGCAGTTCGAGGAGGGAAAACAACTCTTCTATTGTAGATGAGATTTTCGAACTCGTGAATGCCCGTTGCCAATCATTTAAAATTGTATTCCAGAGGAGCCTGGCCCAATTCCAAACAAGTACGGCCTTGGCATTTGGCACTGGCTTAAAAGAACAAAATAATTTGGGAGTGGCAAGACCGACCCCACACAACAAAAAACAGTGCACGTTCCTACTGTTACCTTCTCTCCTGCCCCTGAAGTTGAACTGCCCAATCAGAGTACTAAAATCATTTCTAGAAAAATCGCACTTTTCCCAGTTTCCACTAAAGTACTAATCTCCATTCTCCGCCCAGTAAAAATTCTTTTACAACTACGTGAATGTGGCCCCCCCGGCCTCCGGGAAAAAGAAAATACTAGTGTAAAATTCTAGTACACTAGTATTTATGAACATTTTAGAAAATAAATCCACAAAGTTGTGGTAATTGGAAAAAGCTTGTGAAAAATGGAAGTGTGAAAGTAGAGCGTCAAAAGGCTGCCTGCTTAAAGAAAGTACTGAACTGAACAGCAGGAGGAGGAGGAAGGAGGGTCTGAAGAATCCATCCAGCTGCTGAGGTTTGCAGCAAAACAACGAACATGTTTTCTTCCAATCTGTCTGTTTTGCTGGGACTAGACAGACCCCCATTTCTTTCTTGATTTACTTCCATGGAAGTTTCTCCCAGAGATAACACCATCCTCTGCTTCTTCTTCTGATCTATTTGAAAAACAAAAAAAAAAAAAAAAGAGGGAAAACACAGATACAGCCTCAAAAGAAACGGAAGTTTTATTTTATGCTATCTGAGGAAAGGATGAAGGGTTCATTTTTCTTTCTGATTTTCTTAACTCTGTTGGTGGCTTATGTTCAATTTCAAGCTGATGCTGCTATCCCTGCTGGTACTACTTTTCTTACTTCCTCAAGTCCCCCATTTGCCCCCTTTCCCTAACATTATTGTTTTCTTTTTACTGTTACTATTAGTATTGGTATTATTTTTGCCTCTGTCACGTTTCACTTATTATGAACCAAAACGCTAATGTTGATCTTCTGTTTAAAAAACATGTATGTGTTGTGTACTGGTATTTGATAATTCAGCTTTATTGTTTCATTTTTGGCTCAGGGCCCCTGATAAAACATGTTTCATCCCTGCTCAAATGGACCAGGTCTTCCTCTAAATTGCCCCAATCTGGTAATTTCTCCTAGTTATAATTTCAAGCCTAATTTTACTTCTCTTTTTGGTGTTTGAGGTTAAAGTTCTTATTCATGCACCATCTTTGAGTTGAACAAAACATGAGAGGGGAAAAGGAAAGAAAGAATGAACAAGGATGTTGTAACATGTTTGTGTATGCGTAGCTGTACACGTTGCTTCTTTTGTTTTCGATGTGAGAGGTAATGTATTTTGCGGTTTTCTGATTAACTAAAAGTGCAAACTGCTTTGCTTATAATTAATTTCAGTTTTCTTATAGGGGGGGTAGTTTGGTATATGTGTCTACATTAGGCTTGTATAACCATTCATTTATGGTTACAGATGGGAATGTGCTTCAGTTTGAAGATGGCTACTTAGTAGAAACTGTTGTACAGGGGAACGAGCTTGGGGTCATGCCTTACAAAATCCGCGTGTCACAAGAAGGCGAACTGTTTGCTGTGGATGCAGATAAGAGCAACATTGTTCGGATAACTCCCCCATTATCCCAATGTAAGCTTCTTTCTGCCTCTTTCTCTCTCTCCAAATGGTGAGATTGCTGGTTTTTGTGATCCCTGAGTGTCTGATTTGCTGTCTGTGAATGGGTGAATAATGCAGATAGCAGGGCAAGATTGGTTGCAGGGTCATTTCAAGGTTACACAGGGCATGTGGATGGAAAACCAAGTGATGCTCGGTTTAATCATCCAAGAGGAATCACCATGGATGATAAAGGAAATGTATATGTTGCTGATACAGCAAACCTTGCCATTAGAAAGATAGGAGAATCTGGTGTGTACAATTAACAGCATGAGATTGATCTATTGCTTATTGAAATGGTTATTTGGCCTTGAGAACCCCAATCAGCAACTCTAGAATTTTAAATTCATTTCAGGTGTAACGACAATCGCGGGAGGAAAATCAAATGTTGCAGGATTCAGGGATGGGCCAAGTGAAGATGCTAAGTTCTCATCTGATTTTGATGTGATATATGTTCACTCAACCTGTTCATTACTGGTTGTTGACAGAGGAAATGCTGCCCTTCGACAAATATCTCTTGACCGTGAAGATTGTGATTATCAGTACAGCTCTGTTTCAGCTACAGGTTGGATTTCTCTATGTCTGCTTGCTTGTAATTGATTTTTTATTTTTGGCGCTTCTCTTGTCTCATTTATCAATAACTTGATGTGAATTTTATGGGATGGTCATAGATGGATATTTTAATGGAGTCATGTTAACACCATTATGGTTTACTTTTTTTTTTTTTTTAATTATTCAGATGGATAATAGGCCAATCTTCATTGTTAGTTTCACTGGGGGGCTCCTCTAGGATAGCAGTGACTTTAGTCAGAGGTCTATTTTAGAAATTGAAATTGATTTCTTATTTCTGATAGCTACACAATATTTATGTGAAGGATTAATACACAAATCATGCACAGTTTGAGTATATATTTTGATAGGGCATAAGCCTCTAGGAACTTTTAGTTTTGGCAGATGCAATTGCTGTTATCAGTAGATAATTGAGTAAACTTCTCATCAAAATTTCTCATTCACGTTCGTCATTGAATTGGCTTTATCTGACTTTACTACTCCAATGGACTTTGAGATATCTATTGATCTTGTCTTAATAAGTCCAACAAATATGACACACAAAAATTGTATGACTACCGATAAATCACTCAAATTAGTCTATCAATTACTTGCCTTTCTTGAGCCTTTTTGGTACTGTAGTGAGAGTCCAACTGACAAGGTCAGGGTTCTTATGTGGTTTGATGAAGGGAAATCAGTCTTACTGTAATTTCATATTTAATCACTGAGTTGACCTGTTAGTTGACCTTAACAGGCTACATCAGAATGATGTGTGTTGGCTGGGGCAGGGGAGAAAGAAGAATGAAGAAGAGAAAGCAAGTTACTTTGTCGTACTTTAGGCTATTGAAATGTTGCCTGCATGTGGGAATATAAGAAAACCGGCCACTAAATTCCTCAAAGTTCTAAAATGATATAGTACTAATCATTCTTGAATGAGCAAGCGCTTTTCTGATGCATTTCGTTCTTGTGCAGATATTTTGATGGTTATTGGTGCAGTCTTGATTGGATACATTTCATGCATACTCCAACAGGGGTTTGGTTCATCCTCCTCCAGAATGGTATAGTTTTTTTGTTGATTTGTCAGTTTCAGCTTTATCATTCTGACTTGCATTCCTGCAAGTAGATTTCCACTGGATTAGAGGTTGATTTCCTTCGCTACCAAAAAGCTGGATATGGTCATGCATTAGTTTCTCTCTAAACGTATAGCCTAACCTGAAACAACATCTGCATTGCAGCAAGCAAATACGGGGTTTGAAACTCATGCAGACCGACAAAAGAAAGAAAAATCTGCCCCTGCGGTGGAACTTGTGAAAGAGAACCAGGAAGCTGCTTGGCCATCTTTTGGACAGCTCATTGGAGATCTACCAAAGATTGCATTCGAGGCATTTAGTGGCGTCTTAACGTACCTCATGCCCTTCAGGTTTAGTCGCCGCAGTGCTAGAAAAGGCCTCACTCCATTGAAGGATTCTTTGATCATGCCTGAAGATGAAGCTGAGCCCCAGCCCCAGCCCCAGTTAGTTCAAAAGCAGAGAACTCTTGCCCCTATGTCAGAAACCAGGCAGGCTTACACACCAAATGTTAGTGATAGATATTCAGAAGTGAAGCCTCCTAAGATCCGATCGAGCAGCATGAAAGATCCGTCATTGCCAACCAAGCACAGATCCTCTAGACGACAAGAATATGCTGAATATTATGCATCGGGCGAGGTTCCTTCTCAAGTTCAAGCGAGGTCTAAAGGTCAGAAGGAAAGAACAAAACATCGACAAAGGGATAAAAGTGGAGAGGTTTTTGGATCAAGCGGGGTGGAATATTCAAAACCTGTTGAAAGCAAGGCAGTCAACTATGGTGATCCCAAGTACGGTCCTTACAACATGAGGAGCAATTATGGGGATACATTTCGTTTTGGGTAGGTTGCTTGCTAAAGTGTCTCAGTCCTTGTAGTTTAGAACTACTACTACCGTCTCTAATTGGTCAAGCAATTATGTATTGGTGTTGGAATGTCTATAGTTCCGCCTGGCCTTCAACTTCTTAGAGAAACAAAGAATTTTTTTGAGCGTTTCTTGAGCCTGTTTGGCTTTTGTCCCTTGCGTAGCATGATTCTATCTTGGGAGCCAACAAAAGACAAGGATGAATGGTGGCAGAACGTTCACCGCACCAACCCATAGAAAGAAAATTGCATGTAAGGACTTGGTTTTGTAATTCGTCAGAAAGTGTTGTTGAAAAATGAAGTGTCTACTGTCTAAGAGGGGGATGATCAATTTTAGTAGTATTTTGCTACTATCGACTGTTGAATTGAGGGTACAAGGTAGGCTTAGCACCCTAAAGAAAATAAAGAGTGAAAAGAATTTTTTTTTGGGTAAGAAAAGAATGAAAAAGTTAACACTCATCCGTCCTATCTTATCGTTCATGTCTTGTTTTCACCTTATTAATATTTTAAAATGAGAGTTATCATTTTATATTTAACACGTGTACTTTTCAATCTTACTATTTAAAAAAGTAAATTTTTAAAATTTCAATACACATTTAATAAAGAAAATTTTATATTCAAAGAATACATTTGTAAATTCACCAATTTCACTTCATCCAAACATAATATTACTGATTACTTTGGATAGCTTTCTATTTGTCAGAAATTATTCGATTGTATCATAAACACATTTTTTAACTATATTTTTATTTTTTTCAATCATTTTTTTTATCTCGTGTATATTAATTATATTACAAAAAATATTACAATATTTTTTTAAAAAATTATTTAAAATAATCTCCTAACCAAACACACATATATATCCATAAAAAAGTTGGATTTTCCAAAAATAATTATAATATTGGTGCGGAGGGGGGAGTATAAAATAATATAGAATGAGTGGAGGAGGAAGACCCTCTAACTCTAAGGCAGGCGGAGTGACTGGCTCTCACATTGGCCATTCAAAATTTCAAAGTTGTTCCCACAATTAGCTACACGACTTTTTCAAAAGGAAATCAAGGGATCGTTAATATTCTCATGTGACATGTCCGTGAAGTCCAAAAGTAGGAGACTTTGAGTATTAAAAGACGAATATTTTACTAATAAATACCAGTAGTAATAATATATAATAATGTGTAGAAAAGAAAAGCAGCTTTTGCTTGTTGGTTTTTGCCATTTCCTTTTCTTCTTGATTGGTACATTAGAGGGTAGAAAAGAGAGAAGAAGATAAAAGTGAATTTTAATCCAAAAATAATTGAATTAAAAACTAACAATAATAATAATGTGTTGTTCTTATCCCCTCCAGATTTTTATGTAGCAACTGAGAACTCCCAGTCGGTGAGGCAAAGCGCAGTTCGTGGTGGGACAAATAAATATAAGGGATAATTTCAGAAACCTCCCCTGAGATTTCTGACATTTACACTCACCTCCCCTGTGGTTTGAACAATTACACTAACCTCCCCTGAGGTTACTAATCCTTTACAAATTCAGTCCAAATGATTAAAATATTGTTTTAGAGAGTGAAATTAGAATTTTGTACCTGATTTGCCCTTTGTGGTACATGTCCAATGAATGACAAAGTATTACAAATTAATTAATAATTAATAAACTTTAAGGAGCGTAGTTTATAGGCAAATACGTATTACTTATTTAAAGTACCAGCTCTTTACAAGTATTTTACTTTCAAACATTTACTTTATTACAAATATTTATTCTCAAATACAGATTTGTATTTACTCTCAAATATTTAATTTTTGTTAAATGAAAAACCTACCAGTTTTTCTTTCATAGAAATATTAATATAACAATTTTTCAATTTTAGTTATAAATATTTATGTATTTAGCATAAATTAAATGATTCAGGATAAAATACTCATAAAGAGCTAATACTTTACTCATGTAATGGATGAAAACCATAAAAAATTAATACTTTATGGGCCATTTCTTTTTTTAAAAATATTTAATTTATATTAAATAGATAACCTACTGATTTTCTTTTTGCGAGAATATTACTGTAACACTTTTTAATTTTTAATCACAAACGTTAATATATTTACCATAAATTAAATATTTGAAAATAAAATATCTGTAAAGGGCGAGTACTTTAAATAGGTTATGTGTATTTGCCTATAAACTACACTCCTTACTTAAATCAATAAACTACACTCCTTAAAGTACTCGCCCTTTACAGATATTTTATTTTCAAATATTTAATTTATGGTAAATATATTAACGTTTGTGATTAAAAATTAAAAAGTGTTACAGTAATATTCTCGCAAAAAGAAAATCAGTAGGTTATCTATTTAATATAAATTAAATATTTTTAAAAAAAGAAATGGCCCATAAAGTATTAATTTTTTATGGTTTTCATCCATTACATGAGTAAAGTATTAGCTCTTTATGAGTATTTTATCCTGAATCATTTAATTTATGCTAAATACATAAATATTTATAACTAAAATTGAAAAATTGTTATATTAATATTTCTATGAAAGAAAAACTGGTAGGTTTTTCATTTAACAAAAATTAAATATTTGAGAGTAAATACAAATCTGTATTTGAGAATAAATATTTGTAATAAAGTAAATGTTTGAAAGTAAAATACTTGTAAAGAGCTGGTACTTTAAATAAGTAATACGTATTTGCCTATAAACTACGCTCCTTAAAGTTTATTAATTATTAATTAATTTGTAATACTTTGTCATTCATTGGACATGTACCACAAAGGGCAAATCAGGTACAAAATTCTAATTTCACTCTCTAAAACAATATTTTAATCATTTGGACTGAATTTGTAAAGGATTAGTAACCTCAGGGGAGGTTAGTGTAATTGTTCAAACTACAGGGGAGGTGAGTGTAAATGTCAGAAATCTCAGGGGAGGTTTCTGAAATTATCCCTAAATATAATGGAGACATCCCACAACAGAGCTCATCTGATCATCCCACAAACTTTTTTTTTTTTGCTGTCTCTCTCTCTCTCTCTCTCTCCTCACGGGGAATGAAACATGACAGCCAACCACTTTGGACATTAAGCAATGGGTAAACTACACTTTATTTCTCTTTTTTTTCCTCCTTTACCAAATTTGATGATCATTTCTTTCATGAGGGGGGGCTGCAAAATGGAAGGCGTTAACTAGTCAGTGTACTTGTATTATTTTTGTAGTATTATTCATGACAGGAAGAGTCAGAAAGCTAAGCAGAAAACTGCAAAAAAGTGACCAAAGTTCAATTTGACTTTGGACTCTTTCATACGCATATGACTCAATTTAGTATCAAAAATAAAAAAGAAGAAGTAGTGAACAACTCCCCCATGGCATGCATTCACCACAAATTTTCTCTGATACACATCTAAACTGACTATGACTTGTTGGTGATTTTTTCTGGGATCTGGGGACTGTTTCTGACTGTATAGTGAACAAGGATGGGGTGTGCTGGATCATCACAGGCCAAAGGAGATGGTGAGTCATTGCAAGTTTTCATCTTTTTAAGGTCATGGTACAGGCTTACTGTTTCATATTGTTTTTTATGATGGAAAATTCTGGTCTGTCTACTTTGAAATGTGCCTGGTTGAGAAGAACTCAGGGCATCTGTTTTAACTTGTGACATAGGACATGTATAAATCTGTTTGCATGCATGCATGTGTATTTTTTCTAGGTGCAAGGGATTTGAACTGAGAGAAATGTTTGGATGAATTTATGATTGACAGTCTGTATCAACCAAAATTCAAGAAAAGAAAGAACAAAATCTGCTTATGGACTTTCATGCTCCATTTGTCTTCGTAGGTTTGCTTGATTATTTGGAAAAGAAGCTTCTTTCTTTCAAATTGTATAAAATAAGCTTGTCCAGACTTTAACAGGGTAAGGCGAATTCTGATCTAATTTTGAAGGCTTCGTATCTGATTGGGAATGGGTTTTTGTGTGTGTGTTTGGGTTGGGGGGTGGGGTGGTGGTGGTGCTACTATTGGCTGAAAAGAGTCTCTATTCATCCAAAGATCAACTTCCTCTAGGTTGCTTTGGCAATTGGTACTATGTTGTTCTACTGTTGCTTAGAGTTCCCATAGATGCTGTACTAATTGATCCTCAGTACTAAAGCCTCCTTTCCTTCCAAGTGGTATGCATCTTCTTTGAAGGAGTTTAAGGAGTATTCAACATTTCAAATGCAACCTGGAGGAGAATTAGGATTAAGACAGACCATTCTAGTCCCAAAACCCCAATGAATGATGTAAATGTAAATTATGCGTACTTTGGCTTACCCCCTTTTAGATTTTAGACCTTCCTGGCGAAGTTGCATATGCTGTAATCTAATAAACAGAAAGCTAGAAAAAACTGAATTAGCGTCCTGTGAGCAAAGGAACCAAGTAGACACAGATCTTCAAGACTTGGTTTTTGTGCGAATCACTGGGCGCTGTCGCGCAATTTGTCTTTTCACTCTTGTTGATTCTTGTGTAATGCTGATCTACAGATGTCTGTGCACAGGCATACATCTCTACAAGTCTATTAGCATGTGAAAGTTGGGATTCTGATTTTTTACCATATGTTTGCCAATCTAGTCTATCTGAAGCCCAGGTATGGTAGTTGTGAAGCTGAACACGTTCGTTTACTCTTTGGTCTTTACAGGATCCGCGAAAAAGATTCGAAAGCCAAAACCTTGGAAACATCCACAACCAATAACGAACAGTCAGCTAGTGCAGTTGAGAGAAGAGTTTTGGGACACTGCTCCTCACTATGGTGGAAGAAAAGGTACTAGACCTAATTGAAAAATCACTTGTATTTCAACTTAATTTTGAAGATTCTGTTGATTTAGCAGAGGCAATATTAGCTACTCTACTCATGATCCTCTTATCCTATCCAATTCTGTGGGAATTTACTGTACGTAAACTACTTGTGTACTCATTCTAGAAATTTGGGATGCACTTCGAGCTGCTGCTGAGGCAGACATAAACCTAGCTCAGGCAATCATCGACAGTGCTGGAGTCATCATCCAAAATCCTGATATGACGGTGTGCTATGACGAGAGAGGTCCTATTCTGCTATTTTTTCGACCAAACAAATTCTGCTACGTCCCTTTTGCTTTTATTGGTAGAAATAAGACTGGTGCTCTTCAAATTTTCTGAGCTCGTCTCCATTTGTCTTGCTGCCCTCCTCCTCCTCCTCCTCCTCTTTTCTTTTTTCTGATTTCTATATTCACTAGCTCATTTTTCTTGCTAATCTGTTTTACAGGTGCAAAATATGAACTCCCGAAGTATGTTCTGAGCGAACCAACCAACTTAATACAAGA